GATTTTTTTTAGCGGAGCCAGTACGACAGGAACTGTAAATGATATCGTATTCAACTCCTTCTGGGGGACCACAACCTTTGATATACCTGTACGTTTAGTACACATTCCTATTTCGTCCTTTAACGAAAATAAGAATTTATAATGGTCTCTAAAATCACTTAATATCTATAATTAGTTGATACCCTGTCAATATGTCAATTATTCAACAATTCAAATTCACAATCAAGACCACATTTAAAATTGACTTTACAATTAGACTGTTGTACATATTTAATTTTACATATTAAGCCCATAATAGAAAATTAAATCCAACAGTTCGTACTAACAAATACTATCAAATATGCCATGTTATGCTAGACAAGTCTACATGTCTAAAACTGAACTCCCGTTTCACAGGCAAAAAAAAAAAGTGTACGCAGAGTGACACAAACACAGACACAAAATACAAGATGCCATATGACGTGCATATGGAATACAATAATTTTTAAAAAATTGTGACATGGAATTAAAAGATATAATTTTTTATTTATATTTACATAATATATAGTAGCTGCACTTGTATTTTTTTTTTTTTATAATTGAGAGAGAGAACTCGAATCTAAATGTATTTTCAGGTCGTACGTGCACTTAACACTCACCTATATTTTGGTGTGCTGCTAGCTTTCCCTGCACTACTGTTGTTTCTCTATAGTATTTGTATGTGTATCAGTTTATTTGAATAAGTGACAATGCAAAATTATGAGAACTGGTTACAGAGCTTTAACGGATGGTTTTAGACGCACCCGTAGTGATGAAAGCCCCATGGCCCCTTTAGACCCAAGCCCCCATTGAGGGCGCAAGTGAATTTTTATTTGTCCGTAACAATTTTAATTTTTAAGTGCCAGCTGAATTTTCATTTTTGGAAAAAAGTTTACCCAATTGGAAAATTTCAAATTTCTTATTCGTCTCTTTCTTTTTCAAATAAATTGGATTGGTTTAAGCAAGTCAATAACCCTAGTGGAGCATTCTTATAGTTTTTCTTGTAATTACTATTGATCGTTTTGGTTAACCCAAGTCAATAACTCTAGTCAATAACAAAGATATCTGTTACTTTTTCTTTTGAAAGATATTATTCATTAATTATAATATCAAACATTATAAATAATCATATCAAAGATATCTGTTACTTTTTCTTTTGAAAGATATTATTCATTAATTATAATATCAAACATTATAAATAATCATATAAGAAATTAATAAAATTTACTTATCTTTTATCAAATCAAAAGAATTGTATATATTCTTTTGAATAATAGAACTAAAAATAAAAGAGATAATATTATATCATTCCGCTTGAAAAATGATCTTAACAAATTATGTAAATATTCATAGTAGTAACTAGTTTTCAAATTGATTTGAACGATAAAATAATAATTCTCTAGATATTTTATATCTGGATTGTTTTTTCAAAAATTTGTAACATATGGCATATATAGATGAGTCTTCTTACTATATATCATATGACGTATACAGATGAGTTCCGGCTACTATATATCAATAGCATCAATAGAGGAACAACACTATCAGACTCTATTGATTGAAGATTCACATATGCAAATCAAACTTCTTATTATCTTTAATTATTTAACTAATGAATAGATTAGCCAACTAATAAAAGTGAAGAAACAAAATTAACTAATCTTTATTTACTCTTCCCTAGTCGTGTAACCCTAATTTTATCGTTACATGCATTTGGTGCACATGATTCTTCCATATTTATATCCGTGTAAAATGGGCAATTCCTTTTTCATCATGAAATTACCAAACCCCACCCAACCCAACCTCTTCAACAACTACTACACAATGACTGACTTCAAGTCTTTCCTAGACTTGATTAGTACTCTTCTATCTGTGGACCCTGTATTTGTGGAAAAGAGTTTTTTTACATTTTCTATTTTTTAGGGACAGGGAAAATTTTGAAATAAAATGAAGATTATATTTTCTATATCATTTATTAGTTATAATCTTCATTTTATTTTAAAATTTAATTAATTTTTCATTCTTATTTTTCTTAAAAAGAAAACACAATTAAAATTTATATATTATTTTTCATTCTTATTTTTCCTTAAAAAGAAAAACACAATGTTATTAAGCTATAAAATAATAAAATATATATATTAAACACAAGTTTTCATATACAAACAAGTTTCCAAAAACTGTTAATTCATATAAAGCACAAGGATTTTTTACTTGTACTGTCTTATCATGGCAAACAAGTTAGAATCATTGATATTTGGGATTGGCCCTCCGATTTGCCACCACAAGACGGACAGGTTTCGTAACTGGAATTTTTTTTTTAAAACCAAATTCCCAAGTAACGCTTCCCGGAACAACCAGGACTAAAGAAACCAAGCTCAAAAATTCCATCTTTTGAAACTAAGGTCTGGCCATCAACAATTGATTGCGATAAAGTAAGAGTATCAGTTGCATTTGAGAATTTGCAGAACAAAAATAGTAAATTAGTTATGACCAAAATAAAAGAAAGGGCGCAAATTAGCTTGGGACGGTGAGACATTTCTGCTTACTGCTTATTTGATGCGATATCTAAACTATATTGAGAGTCATCAGAGACTCTCTAGACCACTCTTCAACCATCCATCCACAACTGTAAATCTCTAAACATATTTCCATATCTCTAGAAAAATCCGCAAATATCCTATTAAAATAATATTAATTCAAGAAAAAAATCTTCCTAGTTGCCAACTTTAATCTGACTTTCTGTCAACTTTTATAAGTAAAAAAAACCTTAAAAGGTAGCTTAGATACATTTGATGTAGAGACATCGATGTATATATATACATATAGAAAGCATTTTTTTCTCTAGAGAGTTGACATATGACATATTCACTTGGCATTTTAATTTGATATGTAACATATTTTTTCAATTAGGCTTTCACTTGATATGGTTTGATTTGATTATTTAATGTATTAATGTATTGGCTTGGTTTGGTTTGGATTTATTTTGAATTAGTGTTTTTGGTTTGGTTTGATTGATTATTGGTTTGTTTGATTGATTAATTCAAATGATTAGTGTTTTGATTTGTCTTTTTTTTTTTTTTTTTTTTTCTTTCATGCCAATTACCTAGCAATTCATATATCAATTCATATACAGTAAACCAGTTACAACTGTGTCCATATACAGGAAAAAAAATAGTGCCATTTTAAAAAAAAAATTCTTTTTTTATTGGCTTAGTGCGTAGAACCACTCAAATATTTTCCTAATTCAATAATTTATTTTTAAAAATTATAACGTTATTTAAATTGTAATATTTTTTAGTCTTTGATTTTCACAATTCCTTTATTTTTTATGAATTCAAATTGAAATAATGACTTTAAAATTGAAACCATCGGTACTAATACAAAAAATAAAAAAATAAAAAAAAAAAGAGAGAGAGAAATCAGAACTCAACCATTACAAACTGTTTTAGTTCCTATTTAGAATAAAAAATGGTCGACTATAGTCTGATTTCTTCTAGGACTTTTTAGGGCTCCTAAGTTCCATCTGGGTTTTGTGTGAAGCTAAATGAGCTTTATCTTTCAAATTTTTAATGGCGTGAGCAGGTTATGTGACATTTCGCTCTTGGAAAACGTCAAAGAAAAAAAGTCAAGTTGAAGTAGATATCAAATGACTGTTGTGTGAGTTCAGGAATAGATAACGATTGATTCAACGCGTCTTTACATGAATTTGCCAAAGATATTTACATGAATATCTCGAACTTTAAATGTAAATTTTTTACCAAGCCTCAGGTATTTTAAAATGATTATAAAACGCTTGGTATAATTATATTCGTAATTTATAAATATATCCTCAGATCATTTATTTAGTTTATTATCTATTAATAGAATGAATAAATAAAGTTTTAAATTAATATAAATTGAAGTTTGCCTTAACTATAATAAATAATTAATTTTAAACAAAAATTTAATTAGTCGTTGCCATCGCAAACTATTTCCTATGAAACATATTATTGATTATATCAACACTTTTTTGTTCCTTTTCTTTTTACTCGAGCATTAGGAGTACAAGTAGAGCTGAATTTCACCTAGATTGCAATTGCAAATATTGAGTCAATAGTGCTAAGTAGAAATAATCAATTGAAAAATCTTAAGGAAAATACTTGCCCAGACTGGATATATAATCCTATTTATGGACCAAATAAATGAAATTAAATTTTTTTTTTCAAGTGTATGGTCAAAAATACTTTTATTTCAATAAAAATCTTTAGTTTCATTAGTTTGGTTCATAAGCAGAGTCATGGCAAGTCTTTTTCAAAAAGGGCCCTAGTGAGACTCAAGAGTGCTCCCTACTAATATTAGTAGCAAAGGGCCACACGCTACCAATTAATAGGTTTAATTTTTGGTGGATGAGGAAACTAAAACTTGAGTCATCAACTTTTTTTTTCCCCATTTTTTTGTGGGCTTGGTTATTGTATAAACTAAACATAACAAGTAGCTACTTGTACTACCGATGCTTTTAATGTGTTGAGCATGACACTGCTGCAAGTAGAGGTTCTGAGACAAAAGGGCATTGTGTCCATTGGCCAAGCTATCATGTCAGGGTGCTTTTAGCAGGTTGCCAACTAGATAGAACAGATTGACCGGGGTTTACGGAAGTAGGAATTTCTGGTTACGTGCCAAACAAATCACTATGTTCAACAAGAAAATAGTTAGTAATATCATATGATCGAAAAAGGTGAAAGCCAGATGCCATGAAAATGTGAAAGAATGTTCAGCTGAGCACCAAATGCATGTAAGGAAGGTTCTTATTATCTTTAGCTGCATGCACTCTCTAAAGGAAGGTTCTTATTATCTTTAGCTGATGCACTCTGTCAGATAATGATATAAACACTCCTACTCCGACCTCTACAGGCCAATGACATTGTTTCCTGTTATTTTAAATCAAAGGCAATTTCCTATTTTTCTTTTGCCTAAATTACTCAAAAGCAACTGGATACCTTTTCTAAATACTCAAAAGCAACTGATACGATTGTTTTGTCTCAGTCTCTAGTTGATTCCAACAATAGCATCTTGGTTTCGAACAATGGAATGTTTGAATTTGGTTTTTTTAGTCCTGGAACTTCCAGCAATCGTTATATTGGAATCTGGTACAAGATTGATCCTGCAACTGTTGTTTGGGTTGCAAACAGGCTCAATCCAATAAATGACTCTTCAGGAATTTTGATTCTAGATAATACAGGAAATCTCACACTTGTTAGTAAGAACAAGAGTGTTATTTGGTCATCAAATTTAGAGAAAATAGTGCGGAATCCAGTAGCACAGCTTCTTGATTCAGGTAACTTAGTCATCAGGGATGAAAAGGAGAGCGATTCTGAAAGATTTTTGTGGCAAAGTTTTGACTATCCTTCTGATACATTACTTCCAGGAATGAAGATTGGATGGGACGTAGAGACCGGACTAAATCGGCGTCTATCAGCCTGGAAGAACTTGAGTGATCCTTCTCCTGGAGACTTCACTTGGGGAATGGTGTTAAGTGGTAATCCTGAAGGATTTTTATGGAAAGGCTCGAAAAAATATTATCGAAGTAGTCCATGGAATGGTATTGGAAATAGTGGTTCTCCAAACTTGAAAGAAAATCAGCTTTATGAGTTCAGTTTTATCTCTAATGAAAAAGAGGTGTACTATACTTATAACCTGAAAAACAGATCTGCCATGTCAAGGATTGTTTTGAATCAAACTAGTTATTTGCGGGAAAGATACACTTGGAACGAAGAAAGTCGAACTTGGGAATTGTATACGTTTGTGCCAAGAGACTATTGTGATAGATATGGGCTATGTGGTCCTTATGGAAATTGTATCAGTACTGAATCACCAGTTTGTCAATGTTTAAAAGGTTTTGTCCCCGCTTCACCTGAAAATTGGAATTCTGCAGATTGGTCTCATGGGTGTGTGAGAAATAATCCACTGAAATGCCATAATGGAGAAGGATTCGTTAAATTTGTTGGCTTGAAATTGCCTGATACTACTAGTTCGTGGGTGAATAGAAGTATGAATCTTAAGGAATGTAGGGCTAAATGCTTACAGAACTGTTCATGCATAGCTTACACTACTTTCGATGTAAGGGCACAAGGCAGTGGCTGTGCTATTTGGTTTGGTGATCTGAATGATATGAGAACTTCTAAATCAGGGCAGGATCTATATGTTCGCATGTCTGCTTCAGATTTAGGTATATAACTTCCTTCTGTTTTGTTTAAACTGAAAATGAATTTGATTACATTATATTCTATTAATGCTTTCGCAATATAGTTTGTGTTAGAAGTAAAACAAAGTTTCACATTTATTTGTGTCTTTTAGCAATGACTTAAACTGTTTCTGTTTCTTCGTGAAGAGGAAAAAATTGAGCCTAAGAAGAAAATAATGATTATAGTTGCAATTGTCGTCACCTTGTGTTTTGGCATGCTTATCATTTGCTACTGCGTTCGCAAAAGCAAAGCAAGAGTAAAAGGTATAGTTGCTATTTTTCCCCTTTTTTGGTTAAATGGGCTTCAGTTGGGTTGAAATTGTAATCTTATAGCCTTGGAGATAAATAAGGATTGTTTTTCTTCTGTAACAAAAACATGTTAGGATTGAAATTTTCTTATCGATATTTTTGGAATTCATCATTATGATTCATTCCAGAGAAAAGAGAAAGCGAGGAAAATGATGATAAGGAGCATAGCGAGCAAGAACAGCAGGACTTGGAGCTACCATTGCTTGATCTAACTGCAATAACTAATTCCACCAACAATTTTTCTACATTGCTTGATCTAACTGCAATAACTAATTCCACCAACAATTTTTCTAATGATAACAAGCTAGGGGAAGGTGGTTTTGGGCCAGTTTACAAGGTAAGTTCCCTGCATAATTGTTTGTAAGCACTTAAAAATACATTCCATAAGCCAAAATGGACTTTAATGATGATTCTACGAATACTCCTCTCAGGGTACATTAATGGATGGGCAGGAGATAGCTGTAAAGAGGTTATCAAAGAATTCTGGACAAGGGTTGCAAGAATTCAAAAATGAAGTAATTCTTATAGCTAAGCTTCAACATCGAAATCTCGTAAAGCTTCTTGGTTGTTGCATTCAAGGAGACGAGAAGATTCTGATTTATGAATACATGCCAAATAAAAGCCTTGACAATATCATTTTTGGTTTGCATCCCTCAAGACCTCATAATTATATTGGTTCATTTTTGTTAATGGATTCAAATTCACTGATATTGACAAGAATCTTGCCAGATCAAAGGAAAGGTGACCTACTTGATTGGTCCAAGCGTTTCAACATTATTTGTGGGATTGCACGGGGACTTCTTTATCTTCATCAGGATTCTAGATTGCGAATTATACATAGAGATCTCAAAGCAAGTAACGTTTTACTGGACAAGGATATGAATCCCAAAATCTCAGATTTTGGCATGGCTAGAACATTTGGAGGTGATCAAACTGAAGGAAATACAAATCGAGTGGTTGGCACTTAGTAAGTATATATTCTTGTCCTGCTTTACAAATTTGATGTGAAACGTGTTTAATTTTTGTTTTTTTGTGAAACGTGTTTAATTTTTGTTTTTTTCCATGTTTGGGTCTGCAGTGGCTACATGGCCCCAGAATATGCTACTGATGGGCTATTCTCAGTGAAATCTGATGTTTTTAGCTTTGGTGTTTTACTGCTTGAGATAATAAGTGGGAAGAAAAGTAGAGGATTTTATCATCCAAGCCGCGGTCTTAACCTTATAGGGCATGTAAGAATCAAGAATTTTTTTTTTTTTTATTTTTTTTTTTGCTATTCCTTTCTTCTTTTTTAATTTGCTGTTGAGGCTAATGATTTGGCAGAAAAATTTCACCTGTATAAACTAGGCATGGAAATTTAATGGAAAAGAAGACAAGCCGTTAGAGCTGATTGATGTGAATTTTTAGGAGAGTCCTTGTAATCTAACCGAGGTTGATTCGTTGCATTCAGATTAGTCCCTCTTGTTGTGTCCAGACAGCAATCCTGAGAAAGACAAAGTGTAAAGCATCTGTTTTTTTGATGTTAGGGAGTGAGAATGCTTTGCCTCAGCCTATAGCAAACCTGTTTATTTTTAAGGACAAGGTCCTTGCTGAATCAGATGCTACACCTAGGAAAAAAGGCAAGGAAAGCAGGATTCATCTTCAACTAATGAAATGACCATCTCATTGTTGGAGCCTCGCTAAATAACTAACTAGTTAGTTTTGCGCTCTTCCAATTAATATATAAAGCAATGATAATAGCTTCTGGATTTTGTCCTGTTCTAATATAATAGCCATGTACTTTTTTCTTTCCACTTATTATTTCTAGCTGGCATTAGTACCCCAAAGCCAAAAAGATCAGATTTGATTCAGTTAGCAACCCAAACTACTGTTCGAACTGGAATATTCCCATACCAGATTCTTAAATAACAATTCTTGGAATTTCCAGCAGTAAAGAAATCAAGCTTGAAAATTCCACCTTTTGAAACCAAGGTCTTGCCATCATTTATAGACTGAAATCAAGTTAGTTAGTTAGTGTATCAGTTGCATTTCCAAATTTGGAGAAAGAAAGGAACAAGTTAAATAAAGAATCTCCATTAGTTAGTTTTTGAGAAATGGAGTTTCTGTTCACAGATTCAAAGAGAAAGCTCAAAGAAAGAAAGAAATATGGTTATCTATGTTAAGAAGTTGACTTAGCTGCTGCACTTCCAATTTAGTTGCTGCATTTTTTCTTTTTCTGTTATGTTTTGACTTGTTCTACTGCATTTCAGTCATTTAGTTGTTTCCCTCCTTTATGCGGAAATGACCGAACGAAAACCTATGCCTATCTCGGCTAAAGAACGCTTTCATTCGATGTTTTGATCCTCTGTAGAACATTAAATATGGGACGACGGAAATTTTTCCCGTCTGTGTCTTATGGATGAAGACGACGGGTCGTTCATTTCGTGGATTGGGTTAATGGGCTGTTTTGTGTTTTCTTTGCAAATAGGACTTTTAGTTACTTCTGACTTTAAAACAAATGCAGACGACGATTAAGGCCATTGTTTTGATCAGTGGCTTGAGAAAGATGAGCCGTAGTTGGTAAAAAGACCATTGACAAGCAGGTGATAAACGACAACAGGTTATTTTGGGATGTAAAAATACTCAGGAAAAAGAGCATAATTATTAATAGTTTACATTTAAATGCAAAAAGACAAACTACAATGTTCTTCTGGAAATAAATTACTTGTTACACTGTACTTTTTCTTTGTAATTGTGCTTGATTTTAGATGGTAAGAATACTTTAGATCAAGAATAATAGGAGGTAAGGAGAGCAAAACACAAACTAAAAAATATACTCCATAACAATAAAGTCCAAATAAAAGAAAGCAGCAGAGCAACTAACAAAGCTTAGCTAAATAAATACATCTTGAAAATGTTGATAAAATTCTAACAAGTCAACAAGTTTAGGTTTAATTTGGTCTAACAATGTTGAAGGTTAAAGTTTATGACAAATTTTCAAAATTTTCTAATGTTGAACATAATTTTTATAATTAACCGTTTACAGCAGAGGCAGTAGCAATGTACTCTGCTTTTGCTGTTGATTGAGCTGTAGTTTCTTGTTTTTTTGAGCTCCAACTGAAAAAACTTGTGCCCAGTGAAAATAAGTATCCAGAAGTGCTTCTTGAATCTTCAATACAGCCACCCCAATCGCTGTCGCAGTAACCAACCAACTTCAAACTCTCCCCTGCAATTGCTGCAAAGAACATCCCAAATGTGCTGGTTCCTTTTATATACCTTAACACCCTTTTGGCAGCTGTAAAGTGGGTTTCCCTAGGTAAATGCATAAACCTAGAGAGCAAACTTACAGCAAGTAGAATGTCAGGTCTGCTAGCTGTAAGGTACAGAAGACTACCAATTAAACTTCTATAGAGGATTGTATCTACTTTTTCAGTATTTTCATCCTTGCCTAGCTTTAAACCAGTAGAAATTGGAGTGCTTACAGGTTTGCAATCTTGCATTTTAAACCTGTATAAAATATCAGAAATGTATTTCTGCTGACTTATAAAAAAAAATGTATTTTATGCTTGACTTATAAAAAAACCATCATTAAGTTTGCAGCAAACCTCCATCCCAAAAAAGTATTTATGATCCAAGATCAGTCATCTCAAAGAACTTTCTCCATTTTCATTCCTTGAACTTTTGGAAATGATCCAAGTTTTCTACCTGTCACAAGCATGTCATCAACATAAATTGGAAACAACTAAACACTCATCAATCCTGTATTTGCCTTACATACAAGGTAGCCTTCAACTTTGAACTTTGCTAAAGCCAAGTTGCATGAGATGATTGCAATTCCTTTTCATACAAGCTCTTGGAGCTTGTTTTAACCATACAAACCTTCCTTTAGAAGAAAACTGATCCCTTACCAGGAATAAAAACCAATCAGGTGCTCAAAAATCTCTTCATTGAGAAACCCATTCAGAAATGATGCTGATTGACATCGAAAGTTGGTGGAATTTGCCATGAATTGTGAGCAGCAAAAGCAAGAAAGAGTTGATTGTGTCATATCCTTGCTACTGGATCAAAAAGTTTTATTGTAATTCACCCCATATATGCTGTGCAAATCCCTTCAACCACCAATCTGGCTTTATGCCTTACAAACTGACCAATCAGAATTTAAATTTTTGGTCTTAAAGAACCACTTACAGCCAATCACCTTGCGATTTGCTGCCACTCACTAGCTGCCATGTCCCCTCATTCTTTTGGTTTATCATTTCTAATTCAGCTTGCAGTAGCTCTCTCCATGCTGAAATTCTGTGCTCAATCGTAGCTTGTTGGTTTCATGACAAACTAAAGCTATACCTTTCCATAAACGCTCCTCTAAGGACTTTGTACCGTCTCACCGTAAGTCATCCACCCAAATCATCTGCTACATAGTGAGGTTGCTCTTTTGGAAAAGAGATTAGCTTGAGTATCCTTTGATTCTCCAAACACTCAAAAAGCAGCCTCATCAAACTTTACCATCTCTGCTCCAAGAATTATTTTTTTCAGTTTCAAGCAGAAAAATTTGTACCCTTTACACGATGAACCAAGCCCATGAAAATGAACTTTTTCCAGCCCTGTTGCTAGCTTGCTTCTTTTTGAATCAGAGACTTGATTAAAACGATATACACCCAAAATTCTGATATGATGTACTGTTGGGCTTGTGTCATACCAAGCTTTCAATAAGGAAGTTCATAAGGAGTCTTGTCTTGCAAAGCTTTTGTGGGAAGTCTATTTAATAAATAGACAGAAGTATTGACTGCCTCTGCCTAGAATTGGTTTGGCATTTGTTTCTCAATTAAAAGACACCTGGCCATCTCTATTACTGTCCTATTCTTCCTTTCAAACACCCTATTTTGTTGCGGAGTGTAAGGTACAGTCAATTGATGTTCAATGCCTGCACTTTTACACAATTCAGCAAACTGGCGAGAAGTATATTCTCCACCATTATCAGATCTTAAAGCTTTAATTTTAAGATTACATTGATTCTCTACTAAAGCTTTAAATTGTTTAAACACATCAAAGACTTCACTTTTGAGTTTAATGGAGTTAATGAATAAACCCAACACATCCTGGGTGCAGTCGTCAAATAAATTAGGTGAGAAATAATTGTTTACCACTCAAGGACTTGGTTTGTCAATCGGACCACACAACATCAGTGTGGACGAGTTGAAGTTTTTGATTTTGCTCCTCCAAATGGCCTGATTTGTTTTGAAATGGTAAGCTCGATTGCTTCCTTGCTGACAGATCTCACAAACTGAGTTCATAGGAAAATTCAGGCAATCTTCCACCAGACCCTTTCTTGTTTCATTTCAGCAATTGTTTCTCATTTCAGCAATTGTTCTTTGATTGAAATATCCAAGCCTTTTATGCCACAAGTTTGTAATTGAATGCGAAGCACTTGTGTAAGCTTGCTCAGATGCTTTCTCCCAATTTACCACAAAACTTCTATTTTTCATGTTCACACCAAATAATTCAACTCCAGAAGGATAAAAAATAATGCATTTGTGATCCTTAAAAAGAAGTGAATAATTTTTTTCAAGCATTTGCCCAACACTTAATAAATTTTGGCTAATTTCAAGTATGTGCAAAACATCAGGAATGGTTTTGATACCTGATTTTGTTAACACAGCCACTGATCCTCTTCCTTTGACTTCTAGGAATTCTTCATTTCCCACCTTTACTTTGGATTTGTAGGTATCATCAAGAGTCCTGAACATCTCTGCATCATTGCACAAGTGATGAGTGCAACCGCTGTCGATAAGCCATGCATCAGAGAAGTCATTCATTGAGAAGCAAGAAACCGCAAAAAGTTGCTCCTCCTGTGCATTACTTTGGATACATGCCCAACCTGCTTACAACTGCCACATACAGCATCAGGCCTCCACCAGCAATATTTCTCAAGATGTGTTGTTTTTTTGCAATGTTTGCAAGAAGGAAATGATTTCTTTGAACTTTCACTACTATTTCCACCATCGTGCTTGCCCTTATTTTTCTGGTTGGGATGGTGTTTCCCCTTACCAGAGTTTTGCTTTTGCATAGAGAAAGCTCCTTCGGTGAATCTCTCCTGCCTCATATTCCTTCTTTGCTCTTGTGCTTGAATTGCACTCATTAGTTCACTTAATGAAATCGTACTTAGGTCTTTGGACTCTTCAAGAGAAGAAATCTTGGATTCAAACCTCTCTGGAAGAGTCACAAGAACTTTCTCCATAATTCTTGTATCTGAGAAATCTTCACCAAGCAATCTTATGTTATTAACAATCAAAGAAATTCGATTAGCATACTTACTGATTGTTTCATCCTCCAACATGTTCAGTGACTCAAATTCCCTTTTCAAGTTCAACACTTACATTTGACATGTTCTATCACTGCCTTGATATTCTTCCTTCAACCTCTCCCAAGCCTCCTTTGCAGTTTTGCAAGCCATAATTCGGTAGAACACAGAATCTGCTACTGAATTTTGAATAAGCGACTTGGCTCTAGATTTCTTTGCTTTTTCTTCACTGTTGGATTTGATTTGTGCTAAGGTGGGGTTTGCTAGTAGAGCAGGAATTGGTTTATCTTCTGTTACAGATTCCCAGAGATCAAAGGCTTCCTCTGTTACAGACTTCGCCGAGATCAAAGGCTTCCAAGAAAGCTTTTGCATTCCTTCACTGACCAAATGTGATAATTTTGACCAGATCAGTTAAGATGATAGGCGGGTTTAAAGATTGGCTGCTGGGATGCCATTTGGAGTTTTGGAATTAAAAAAAATTTGGTTGTAGTTTGGTCCCCCGTAAGATAAACTGCTCTGATACACTGTTTAAAACAAAACTACAGTGGAGAATTTACGAGATTAAATGCTTCATGAGATTCGATAGAGAAATTCGCCCAGCGCATAATTTTTCATTGAAGAATTAACTGCAGAATTTATAACAACAGAATGGAAATAACAAACTTCCCTATTTTAGAGCACTTCATAAGGTGGAATAAAAACTGAATAAAAAATCTGCAACTAAGAGCTAAAAAAACAGCCACTAATACTTAAGCCACTAACTCCACCATTTTGATGCTGTAAAAAAAAAAAAAAATTTAACAAGAAAAATATTAACAGTATGCTCGGACACTGAAATGCCAGAAATCTACAGAAACGGAAGTTTTTCCGTCTGTGGTCTTATGGATGAAAGGACGACGGGTTCGTTTCAATTTCCGTGGATTGGGTTTAATGGGCGTTTTGGTGTTTTCTTTGCAAATAGGACTTTTAGTTACTTCTGACTTTTTAAAAATGCAAGACGACGATTAAGGCCATTGTTTTGATCAGTTGACTTAGGATGAGACCCGTAGTTGGTAAAAAGATCATTGGACAAGCAGGTGGATAAACGAAGCAACATGTTATTTTGTGAATGTAAAAATAACTCAGGAAAAAGAGGCATAGAATTTATCTAATAGTTGTTACATTTAAATTGTGTAAAAGAACAAACTATCATATGTTCTTCCTTGGAAATAAATTATGTGTTACACTGTACTGTTTTCTTGTGTAGATTGTGCTTGAATTTAAAGATGGGTAAGTAAATAACTTTTAGATCAAAGAATAATAAGGAAGGTAAGGAGAGTAAAACGAACAAACTAAAAAATATACTCCAATAACAAATGAAAGTCCAAATAAAGAAAGCAGCAGAGCACTAACAAAAGGCCTTAGCTAAAATAAATACATCTTGTAAAAAATGTTGAAATAAAATCTCTATAACAAGTCCAACAAGTTTAGGTTTAATTTGGTCTAACAATGTTGATAGGTTAAAGTTTATGACAAATTTTCAAAAAATTTTCTAATGGTTGGTTAAGCATAAAATGTTGAACATAATTTTTATAATTAACCGGTAAAAATAATTATTTTATTAATGGAGATTGGTTTGAGTAGAAAGAACTCAGGTTCCTTAAATAAGAGGAGGTTGAGTACTCTATCATTTTAAACGAAGAAAATCTTCATTGGAATGGTTCCTCTTATAGATATGAGGCTGCAGACAAGATTCAATTTAATCTAACAAACTAGATATACTTTAGATATAAATAAAAATAAATAAATAAAAATAATTTTTGATTGCTATTGTTTAGTATTGAGATAACCAACTCCATAAATTCAATTCTTTACAATGCAAATTCTCTCCAAATCAGCATCTTCTCCTCTAAGAAAGAGCGGAGACTAGTGAGATTGCAAGTATCAAAAACTTTTATATATACCCCTTTTTAATAATATATATATATAATATATATATATATACTATATATATATGTGAACTATAATTTTTTAAATAAAAAAAATAATTCAAAATTCATAACTCCATCAATTAAAATGAGCAAGCTTCTTTTTTTTTGGGTACACAAGAAGATAAAGAAAAACTAATATGTGAACTATAATTTTTTAAATAAATAAAATAATTCAAAATTCATAACTCCATCAATTAAAATGAGCAACTTCTTTTTTTGGTACACAAGAAGATAAAGAAAAACTAAGAATTACATCATGTTGGATAGGTTATTAACATCATGTGCTAACCATGGAAGAACACCATTAGGGAGACTATCAAAAACCTTCAAGTCCCATTCCTAAAGAAAAAGCAAACTAAGTCAATCCACACTGAATTCGGCTCACGAAAGATGTGAGATATTGTAATAGATTGAAACGTAGAAAGATAATATATAATGAAAATACACAAGAGAAATCACTAAGGCAAAATCACCACCTGACCTTAAGAGAAGAGAAACTTCTAACAATTTAATTCCTTCAAGCAGAGCCCATAATTTAGCTCCAAAAATTGTAGAATGCCCATGCCTAGAGCAAAACCAACCGACCGCTAAGCTGTAGAATCCCTGATCAAACCACCAGCAGAAGCAAGTTGCCCAACCACATTAAATGAGCTACATATAGCATGACCAAACTCTATTTCATTTGTCGCTTTAGAAAATTATTGCAGCATTAAATATTTTACTTTACTCTTATATTTTAGAATCTGCATTAAATAAACATTAATTACTTAAAAATAATTTAATTAAATATTTTTGACAGAATTTGGGTGATTCAATTTTTTTTTTAATTTTCATTTATTCCATTTTATTTACTCTAACCAAGTGGGAAAAAAGCACAACTCTATTCAATTACAGAATCAACCATTGCAGGAAGCAAATCAATAGTAGAAAGTCACTGAGTTTTTGTAATTAACAGCTATTGATTTTCCTTCTCTAAGTTATAAAATTAGTTAATTCTGGAGGATTGACAACTTCAATCTGCTTTGAATTTTGACCAAAATAAGCTAAATTAAATGCAAAATCAAGTCAAAAGATAACAGATCATAAATATTTTTTTTTTACAAAGTTTTCAATTTTTTTTCTTCTGTGTTTTTGTAATCCAATACAAGATCAGCAATTATTACATTCAAGAAAAAAAGAATAATCCAAGAAGAAAGAAAGGGAAAAGAAGAATTTTCACTAACAAAAATCCTTCAATTCCTGCAGAAGAGCCTCTTCTACCAAAAATCTAGACTCTTCCATCAACTCAGGACTTAATCTAAACATAAGAACACAAAACTCCATCTGATTAAGAGCACCATCACCATCAAAATCACCTTCCTTTAACATGCACCTTAAATCATCATCACTCAAATCTTGCAATCCTAAAAAGGCAGAGTTCCTTTTCAGACTGTCAAAAGTGATAACTCCTTTTTCACTGTCCATCAGAAGATTAAACCCATTGCATAGCTCTCCAATCAGACCATCGCCGCCAAGCTTGTTTGCCATAACAGGCAAGTAGTCAAAGAAGTCTTGTGATGGGTTCTGGTTTTGTGAAGATGCCATCTTTGAAGAAAGAAAAGTATGGAGATTTAGAGACAGAGAGAGGAAGAGAGGAAATTGAAGTATGGTTTTTGTTGAGGATAGAAAAAGAAATAATGGGTAATTGGTATATATAAGTGGAGATAAGGGTTTTCCAAGAAGGAGAGGCCATGGAAGACAACTAATGTACAGGTAAGGAAGGAAGGTCAAGACCATTTTCTTGGAGCTGCAGATATGTTTCGGGGAAGGTTGTCTAGGGATAGGATGGTCATTTGGTGAGAAAGAAGGAGTCAAGGAGGTGGGTTTCGTGAGGGGCTTTTACGGCCTAATAATAAATTTGCCCTGAATTTTTAATTATTTTTTTTCATTTCGTACCCGTATTTAGTGTGGCCATTTATTTATTATCGACAAATTGAAATACATTGTATTTGCACACTTATGTAACTCGATAATTCTCTATATAATATCTCATTTTCTACTCGGTAATATATATTATAATTTTAGTTCGGGCTGCAACTCTTTATTCTTTCAATTCAATTTTTCTCTTTTTTTTTCACTTAATATCATATTCACTTTTAATAAATTCAAATATTTTTTTTTTATTTTTTTACTATTATTTTATCACTATATTAGAGTTTTTTTTATCTCTTTTCTGTAAGTTTTTGTTCTTTCTTTGTGAGGGTTTATTATTAAATATATAGAAATATGTACTTGATTTTATTTAGTTGAAGGCCTTAGATCATGATTTGCATATGTGAATCTTCAATCAATACTGGTGCAATTCATTCATCTATTGATGTTATTGACATATAATGGCGGAAACTTATTTATGTATGTTATATATTGCAAGTTCTTAAAAAAACTGATCCAGTTATAGAAGATCAAAAAGAGTTATTATTTTGTTATTCAAATCAATTAAAGAATTAATTGTTACTATAAAAATTTATATTTTTTATCAAAATGATTTTCAAGTTAAAGATCTAATATAATCTATTTTACTTTTAGTTTTATTATTCAAAAGAATATAAACAATTCTTTTGATTTGTTAAAAGATCATATACATCTATTAGTTTATGATAAAAAAGTTTTATATATGATTTATATAAATATTATAATGTTTGATTTTATTATTAAGGAATTATATTTTTTTAAAAATATCTAAATAATTAATATTAACTTGGCTGAATATATGAATTCGCTCCTGTATCTAACCTTGTGGCACTTTAAACTTTATGAATGACCTATTACGCACTTGAATTTACAAAATTTGGTAATATTATACATCTTTTAACACTAATATCAATAATTTTAGAGTTTTTGGCTTTTATCTGTAAAATATCGACTTTATATGTAGTTAGCATGACTTTTGGAATAATAATTTTCATAAATTTCAACTTTTTAATAAGTGCTCAATTAATTGAATTTTGCAAGTTGAAGCGTTCAATAAAATAATTTGAAAATTTGAAGTATTTAATAGATATAGTTTTATAAATTGAATTGTTTGATGGGTCAAAATAAAATTTAAGGGTGTTATAACATTAAAGTAAGAAAGTACCTGAGTGAATTTATGTATTGTGCCACATTAACTTATTAAAAATAGTAAAGATAAAAAACAATAATTGTTTGCTATTAATTATTAGTTATTTTATTCGCATTTTGTCAAAAGTTAAAAGAGAGTCACAAAATATCATGCATAATAAAGATAGTATTTCGACTACAATCCAAAACACAAAATATTATTTTCTTCATACTAAAATTATAATTTCACTTTTTTTTGGACATGTCAAAATAATAGTTCCATTTATATTTTTAAAAATATTTTTCTTTTCACTTCACTATAATATAATATCCTTATATTAAAATAGCACTAACTTATTAACATGTAAGTGAGCTATAATTTTCAACAAATAAAAAAGAAAAGCGGAACGAAGGAGTAAAAAGAACAAGGCGAAAAAGGGTGAATTTAAAAAAGACAAATTTGTGGATTAGGCCGGCTTTTAAAAAGGCAAGGATAAAGTGGGAATTTGAGGGGTAAAAATTGTAAATTTATAAGAAAATAGTGAAACGTGTCTTAGGGAATCCTCTTGATGGAGAAGAATGTTCAAGAGGGGTAGAATTGTCAATATACAGGCATGAAATGAAAGTAGCCAAAAGGAGCTTTCGTTGCCGGGAAGGTAAATGAACCTTTGTGGAAATGGACGTTAAACATAAGCAAGAAAATTTTTGGGTATCTTTCCAAGAAATTTAACTTTACTGTTTTTAAATCTTTTGCGTAGTTCAATCTTTCTTTCCTTTTGCCCCTCACCTTTTTTTTTTTAGAAATTTCCTTTTATTTTTATCTTTAAGGTCAAAGATTATTATCAAGAATAAGAATTCTTACTTTTTTTAAGTTATTTAATTTTTTCTGAAACATTTGGTTGATGAATTTTTATGTTATTGAGTATGATATTATAACTCATGCAATCAGGACGGTGCCAAGTTATGCAAAATAGGGTCAATCGACCCGCTCAATTTTTAAAAAATATTTATAAAATATGATAAATTGATAAAAAAAATTAAAAAAAAAATGTATATTAAATGAAAAATTTTAGATTTTTTAATTTAATTAACCCCTTTAAAAATCAAATTAAATAAATAACCCTATTGAAAAAATTTTCTAGCTCCGCCACTGCATACAATCATGAACGGACCACTAGTACTTGTAAATGGTTTTATATTTTTAATTTTGCATTCAAGCAATTCAATTATTAAATTGTTATAAATTTTTTTTATATTTTTTATGTTGTGATATAATAAAAATAACTTACTTCTTGTTAGACATTAAAATTGAAATATACTGCCTAATATGAATAATTCGCTCTCCCCTTTTATACAATCTTTGTTATTTGTTTAAATCCAATCGTTTTCACTTGTTTTAACCTTAGACACTTTTGATTGAAGTTCACTTCATAATTAAGTTTTTAATTAAATAACCCTATTGAAAAAATTTTCTAGCTCCGCCACTGCATACAATCATGAACGGACCACTAGTACTTGTAAATGGTTTTATATTTTTAATTTTGCATTCAAGCAATTCAATTATTAAATTGTTATAAATTTTTTTTATATTTTTTATGTTGTGATATAATAAAAATAACTTACTTCTTGTTAGACATTAAAATTGAAATATACTGCCTAATATGAATAATTCGCTCTCCCCTTTTATACAATCTTTGTTATTTGTTTAAATCCAATCGTTTTCACTTGTTTTAACCTTAGACACTTTTGATTGAAGTTCACTTCATAATTAAGTTTTTAATAATTACGTGTTCCTTAAATTAAACTTAATCTTACTCACATTACGTCATATTAATTTTTTTTGTATTTATAAATATGAAATATTCGATCTCTTATTTAAAAAATTTAAATTATTTTTTACCATAATTTCTTAATTCCGTAATAACTTTAAAATAGTTAAAAGAATGACCATCAAGCTGTCATTGAAGAATGGGTAATAATTTAATCCTTCTAACAAATGCATTGAAGATTCTATTATTATTACTTTAAATTTTTAGTATTTGTCGCACTGGAATGACAACACATAGAAGAGAATATTTTATTGACATCCTTTTGTGGGTTCAGTCAATGAAAGAGGACAGTGCTATTAAATATGAAAGACATATCATTTGGAAATCTCCTTTGTCTTTTATTCTCTTTTGGGTGTCGGTTGTTTTGTGAAAATTTTGAAACATGAGCACCTCATGTCTGTATATATTACACATAATATATTGGTTATTAGCTGTTATTGTTCAAAGAACTTTCTAGTATTTGAGCTATTTGTTATTAATTTTCAAAAATATACATATTAATCTAATTTTATTTGTATTTTTCACCCTCAATGTTTGCATTCTAGTTCTTCCCCTATAATGTTAATTTCCTATTTTGCTTCCTCAAGCAAAAGCAAAGAACTTTTTTTTTTGACATTTTAATCAAGTAATAATAAAAAACAGAAAGGAATATATTCTCTTAATCTCTCTTTTTTTAACTATTTGGTATCCAAAATTTTTTGTCATGATTTTTTTTTTTATATATCTAGGAGGTTTAATTCATCTCAAATCATATAGCATACAGATTTTTTATTCTTTCAATAAAATGTGCTTTTCAGAAATCGAATTTGTGTTCTCACTCTTACGAAAATTAAGATTACTTAACACTCCAACTAACACCTTATTAATATAATTAATCCAAATAAGTATACTTATAAAGGGAATTTTGGAGTGTCTGAACGGATTTTATATGTAGAGTTTAAATTTAAAACCTCTCGTCCAACATGAAAGTGATCTCTGCAGTGGCATGGGAGGTCTTTTAATACTTTTTTTTACGTCCATAGACGGAGGCCATCTTGGCCATTGGTCAATCCCTGTGCAAATTTGACTCTATCAAATATTCAAAGCTGTTCTCTATTTCTGGGTCAAAGGCTGTCCTTTTCACTTTTGACATTTCACCCATTGGTATTGGATTTGGTTACCTCTCAATCCAGTCCCTTGTTATTAGGCATGGCCGGTTCAGTGAACTGTCGGTTTCGGTTCACTGAACCGCCGGTTCGAAATTTTTAAAATTTTGAATCGGAATCGATCCTCGAACCTCCGGTTCCCGTTTCAGTACGGTTCAGCACGGTTCCGGCGAACCGACGGTTCAAATTACGGTTCCGATTCGGTTCTGGCATTACGCAAATTTAAAAAAAATAATAAAATTTTGATTCTGAATTCATAAATAAATAATAATTTTAAAATATTTAAATTTTATTAACTAGATGAATTATTATAAATTTTAAAAGAAAAAATTATTATAAATTTTAAAAGAAAAAAACTTCTATTAACTTAACTAGAACTATTAATTAACATTAAATTTACAAAATTTTGCCTATTTAGTCGCTAATATAAAGAAAAACTATAAATGGAATATAAAATTAATGAGATGAGTTGGAAATTATTATTTTCAAATTCTAGAAGAAATTATGGTTAAAAAATCAAATGAAGTAAAATTTATGAATGGAAAAATTTGAGATTCAGAGAAAGAAATTTTGGAGTTGGATGTAAAGGAAATAAATAAACAATAGATAATTCCAATATTAAGGAAAATAAAGCAATAAAAAAAATAATGAACTATGGAAATTTGAGAAGAATTTTGATTGAGAATAAGAAGAAGAGTTATGATATATTGATTGTGAACATAAAAATACATCAACTCATTATATTTATACTTGTTTCTGCGTTTAAATTAGTTTTCCAAAAAAATTGTCCCCTTATAATAGAAAATAATAACCTAATATTTTTTGGATAATTTAAGTAAATTAATAGTAAATAAATGATTAAAAAATGAATAAAATTTATTTACCAAAAAATAAATAAAAAACACTTATCAATATCCAGAAACTATCCGTACACTCTTATTTTTGTAGCAATTTGAAAGTACTTTTTTTAATATAAATCAACTATTCATGTACCCATTTTTTTAATATAAATTAGTCAAAAAATGTTGTATTTTTTTCACAAACTTTTAAATATAACTTAACGTATCATTTTAACTTCTCTTCCACGCATAAGATCAAATCAACTACCAATCAAATCAAGCATATAATTTTTTTAATTAAAAATTTTAAGCTACAATTTTTGGCAATCCGGTTCAACCCGGACCGGAACTACGCCAAAATAATTTCGGTTCATACTTTTAACATTCAGCATGAACCTTAAACCGGCCCTTGAAAGCGCGCCGGGTATTCCGATCCGGTTCCGGTTTCGTCTACAGTGACGGTTCTATTTTAACATTCACATGAACCTTAACCGGCCCTTGAACCGCCGGTTTCGATCCGGTTCCGGTTCGTCTACAGTACGGTTCGGTTCTGGTTAGAACCGAACCAGTGGCCATGCCTACTTGTTATGCGATCCTAGCGTTTGTTTGTTCGTTAAATTATTTAAAGACTGAATAATTATTAATATGATTAACACCTTATTAATATGATTAATCCAAATAAGTATATTTATAAAGGGAATTTTCAAGTGTCTGAACGGATTTTATATGTAGAGTTTAAATTTAAAACCTCTCGTCCAACATGAAAGTGATCTCTGCAGTGGCATGGGAGGTCTTTTAATACTTTTTTTTACGTCCATAGACGGAGGCCATCTTGGCCATTGGTCAATCCCTGTGCAAATTTGACTCTATCAAATATTCAAAGCTGTTCTCTATTTCTGGGTCAAAGGCCGTCCTTTTCACTTTTGACATTTCACCCATTGGCATTGGATTTGGCTACCTCTCAATCCAGTCCCTTGTTATGCGATCCTAACGTTGTTTGTTCGTTAAATTATTTAAAGACTGAATAATTATTCAGTCCCTAAATTTAATCATAATTACTCTTTCTACCCTGTAATTTTATTTTGATTTGATTTACACACAGATTAATAAAATTTAGTTAGTCTAATTAAACCAATTGCTATATCAGTAATTTCAAAACCAATTTAATTTCACTGAACATAAGAAACATAAATTTTCTTTATGAAACTGAAATTTATTAGTAAGAATGACGGTTAAAACTAAAAACCAAACTGAATCAATTTAATTTAGTTTTTTCAGTTAATTAATTTGATTTTTAATTTACAATTTCAAATAACTTTGTTTTATAATTTTCTTTTCCAAAAACCAAAACGAGCATATCAAAATGAACGGAACATATGAAAATGAACGGTACCAATTGGTTAATTTTTTTTTTTTTTTATAAAAACCAATCACTTCAATTTAATTCAAATATAGTTCGATTTTACCTCAATTAGAAAAAAAAAAACATTTCTATTATTAGATGTAATCCCACATATGTGTGTGTAAATACTTATATATAACTGATTGTAATTTCTCTCGATCATACTGTAAAATTAGCAAATTTAACGTTTTTCATGTGATAAATTTGAAATTGAGATAGAACTTATATATCGGAATAATTTATTTATCTAATTATAGTTATTTTTTTTCTATATAAATTACAATATCTTTCACCAACATCAATCTCAAACATTAGTATCCTTTAATATTTTCCAGTTAATCAATAAATACTCTTGCAACAAAAATTACCTTATCATATAAAATAATGGCAATCTCCAAGAAGTTGGCAATCTTTAGTTTGGTTATGTTGGTATGCCTGTTGTTGGTAGAAGATGGAAATGCAAACTTTATTAGCAATGCAGCTATGGAGAAAAATACTATACCTGGATGCAGCCCAAGAAACCCTTCGGCTTGCAAAAGGAAAGAGGTAAACAAATATACAAGAGGCTGTGAGGGAAGCCAAAGGTGTCGGACACATGATGCGTTATTAGGGAAGAAGGATGGGATGAAGAGTGGGAAAGAAGGTAACAGGAAGATAAATGTATGAACATATTAGAATTAATGATCTATATACATATACGGTGAACGATTCTTAGTCTCAATGGCTAAGGTGAAGTACACATGGCTGAAAGATTATGGATTTTATCTTTCCTCTGACATTGTTTAAATTGTATTTAAAATTTGTGATTGTGTTAATCTGCTTTAATTGCTACACTGCCTGAATGCAGATTGTAATATATTTTTTGTAATATATTTTAAAATTTGTAATTGTGTTCTAGTTGCAGCATTGCTTAGATGCAAATTGTAATATATTCCTTGTAATACAGTCATTGATTGATGTGCAGGGTGGCTCACGTTTGTTGGGCCTTGGTCACATTTTAAATTTCAACAAAAGCTCAATTTTTTATTTCGATTTTAATGTAGTTGTCTCCTGCATGTATAATTCTTCAATGGGCAAGATTGAGAAATTGCACTATTGAATTTTATTTTCTGGGTCTACCAGCTGAAAATTAAAATTAAAATTCGATCTGTTGTATGAGTCTCAAATATGAAATTATTATTTTTGATCCATATATATAAAAACAGTGACCCTTATTTTTAGTAAAAACGGTCCTGAAACGTTACTTAACGAATTCAGCGCTTTATCATACTGGACCAACTGATAGTTAATTATTAACTACTTTAATTTAAGTAGATTATACTTTTTTTTCTATTATTTGAAATTGTACAATATGTGCAATTTTTTTAACATAAATTATTGTAGAATGATTTTCAAATTTTTTAATGGCGTGCTTAAAAGCTAATAATAAAAACACACAAAAAAGAGGTCCACATAATATAAAGCTAGAATTTTATTTGTAAGTTGAAGATTGACTTCTCTATGGTTTGAGTCCATCCTCAAAGACACTACAGTAATTTGGGTTGCCGATAGAAAACTCCATTGGCTAATTCATTTGGAGCATTAACGTTCAGTGAATGGGGATCCGAGTTCTTGTTCTTATCAGTCAAAACAATATATCATTTGGTCTTCTAATTATACATCAAGACTAGAGCATAACCCAGTTGCTCAGCGCTTGAATCCAGGAAATCTTGTTCTTAGAAATGAAAATAATAATAACCCAGAAATTTTTTTATGGGAAAGCTTTTGTTATCCTGAAAATGACTTTCTACCTGGAATGAAGATTGGAAGAATAGTTTCAGGCATGAATTACATATCACCATGGAGAAGGGTCAATGATCCTTCTAAAGGAAACTTTACTGTGGAGATTGACGCTAGAGATTTAGAAGTGCTTCTCAACCAAGAGTATAGGGTTGTGAAAGCTCGATTCGGATTATGAAATGGGCTTGCATTTAGCGGTTCACCTAAAGCAAACAGTTCGTGTAACCTCAGTTTTATTACTAACCTGAAAGAGAAATACTACACTTATGAGCTTCTAGACAAATCTTTAATTACAAGGATTATTTTGGATGAAAATTGTGACTCGAAGCGTTTTACCTGGAATGAACTTATTCGCCAACAAATTTCCTTATCTAGTTGCACCAGTAGATATGTGATACATATGGTTTATGTGATGTTGATGGTATCTGCAACCTTAGTGATAGCCTTAAATGTAGATGCTTGAACAGATTTGGTGTCAAAAAGTCCAAGAAATTGGAATGCAGATTGGGCAGAAGGATGCGTTCGGAGGATGCCATTAGATTGCACGCCTGAAAGGAGATGATGGGTTTATAAAGTACTTGACATCAAATTGCCTGATACGCGCGCAATTCAAAGAATTGTTCTTGCATGGCATATGCTAATTCAGATATAGAAGTGGATGCGTGGTCTGATTTGATGATCTCATTGATAGCAAACAGTTGGCAGAGAATGGACAAGACATTTACATATTCGGAATCGGATGACTTCTTCTGAATTATGTAAGGAAATACAGTAAAGTAGAAATATTGGCAGAAAAAGCTGTGTAAGTGTAACTTTGCTCTACTATTTTGAAATTCAAAAGTTAAATTATAATCTTTAAAATTCTTAAGCTGAGATCATAGAAACAGAAAAAATGCTGCTACAAAGCATCAGGAAAACAAGAAATTGTTAGTAATTGCCTTTAGTATTTGACCAAGTCTTTACAGTTTTTTTTTGCTTTTTGAATAAGTCTTTAAGCATGATTTACTTGTTGCTTAATTATAGGAGATTAGTTCAGTTTTTTTCCCGGATTATTAGCAGTAGTTGCTAAGTAGTGCTTTTTTGAATAAGTCTTAAAGCATGAATTTACTTGTTGCTTAAATTATAATTATAGGAGATTAGTTCAGTTTTTTTCCCGGATTATTAGCAGTAGTTGCTAAGTAGTGATGTCTCTTTTTCTCTATAAATATTCAGCAGTAAATAAGAATGGTGTGCTTCCAAGTCCAATATATTCCAGTTTATAAAACATTTTTCATATAGCTTCATATCAGTTTTTTTTACTACAAACTGGTATCAGAGCCATTATCTTGAGGGACCTGTGAAAATGGAGAGTGATACACAATCAGTTTTCAGCCATCATGCTGCTCCACCCGTTTTTGATGGCCAAAACTATCAAGCATGGGCTGTTAGAATGATGGGCTGTTAGAATGACAGTCTATCTTGATGCTATGGATCTTTGGGAGGCTGTAGAAGAAGATTACGACGTTCAACCGTTGCCTGCAAATCCAACGGTGGCACAGATAAAAAATCACAAGGAGAGAAAGACAAGGAAGTCAAAAGCCATATCTTGTCTTTACTCTGCCGTCTCAAGTACCATTTTTACCAGGATCATGAACCTGAATTCAGCCAAAGCCATATGGGATTATTATGGGATTATCTCAAAAAGGAGTCAGCCAAGGGCAATGGCAATGAAAGAACCAAGAACATGCAAATTCTCAACTTGATTAGAGAATTTGAGATGGTAAAGATGAAGGAGTCGGAAACAATTAAGGATTATTCAGACAAGTTACTAGGCATTGTCAACAAAGCAAGGCTGTTAGGTAAGGATTTTTCTGATGACAGAATCATCCAAAAAATTCTTGTTACTCTTCCTGAGAAATATGAGTCAAAAATCTCTTCATTAGAGGAGTCTAAGGATCTGTCAAGCATATCCTTGGCAGAGTTGGTTAATGCTTTGCAGGCTCAGGAGCAAAGAAGAATAATGAGAAAAGAAGGAATTGTGGAGGATGCTTTGAAGGCTAAATCTGAAAGTTCAGGAGGCAAAGACAAGAAATTCATGGAGAAATATAAAAGCAGCAAGTCCAGAAATTTCAACAAAGGTGCTGACAAAGGTGCTGGATCACCTTGTACACACTACAAAAAGTCAAACCATCAGTCTAAGAAGTTGGTGGAGGCCTGACATTAAGTGCAGAAAGTGTGGCATCATGGGACACATGGAGAGAGTGTGCAAATCCCAACAGTCCGAAGTAGCAAAAGCACATTTAGAAGAAAATGATAATGAACAACTCTTTGTGGCGACATGTTTTGCAGCTAAGAACAACTCAGGTGATTCTTAGTTGATAGACAGCAGCTGCACCAATCACATGACCAATGATCAACTCTCTTCATAAAGATAAATAAGACTTTTATCTCTAAAGTAAGGATTGGAAATGGCTAGCTTATTCCAGTCAAGGGAAAAGGCACAGTGGAAATTGAGAGCTTGATAGGTTTGAAACATATCCCTGATGTTTTGTATGCGCTTGATATTGATCAAAATTTGTTGAGTGCTGGGCAGCTTCTTGAAAAAGGCTACAAAGTCTTTTTTGAGGATAAGTGGTGCTTTATTAAGGATGCAATGGGCAGAAATGTTTTTAAGGTGATGATGAAGTCCAAGAGTTTTGCTCTGAATTTGCTAGAGAATGGCCAAGCAGCACTTGCATGTCACTTCAGCAATGCAGAGCTATGGCACAAAAGGTTGGAACACTTTCATCATGCTGGATTACTGTATATGCAGAAAAATGACTTTGTGAAGGGAGTCCCACCACTCGAAGAAGAGCTAGCTCATTGTGTAGCTTGTCAATATGGAAAGCAAGTCAGGAAACCATTTCCTCGAACAGCATGGAGAGCCTCACACAAGCTGCAGCTGGTGCATTCAGATGTCGGAGGACCTCAGAAAACATCATCTTTAAATGGACCTAAAAAAACATCATCTTTAAATGGTAATCAGTACTATATTACATTTATTGATGATTATACTAGATTTTGTTGGATTTACTTCTTCAAATCCACGGCTGAGGTTGCTAGTATATTTTGGAAATTTAAAAGTTGGGTGGAGAATCAAAGTGATTGCAGGATACGTACAATAAGATCTGACAATGGAAAAGAGTACAAAAATGCATCTTTTGATGCATCTTTTGACAAATTTTGTGAAGAAGCAGGTATTGAGCACCAACTCACAACTCCTTACACTCCCCAGCAGAACTGTGACATCCCAGGTTTGGGGCACAACACCTTAGGCGAATCCCACATCGGCTACGCACAAGGTTGGAAGATCCTATTACATAAAGGTGGCAACCTTGAACATGGAGGACGCGTTTTGGGCTGGCAGAGTGGAGGTTTCCCTGGCCCAGAACAAACCGTGCTGGCTTGTGTGGCCCAAAGGGACCATATCTTACCATGGGCTGGGTGCACAATTTGGTATCAGAGCCAAGCCTTGTCCCTCTTGGCCGGTGGTGGGGCCAAACCTCAGCAGGACGCTGAAAGTCCTAAGGGGGGGTGTATGTGAACATCCCAGGTTTGGGGCACAACCCTTAGGCGATCCCACATCGGCTACGCACAAGGTGGGGAAGTCCTTATACATAAAGCGGTGGCAAACCTTGAAACATGGTAGACGCGTTTTGGGCCTGGCAGACGTGGAGGTGTCCCTGGCCAGAAACAAAACCGTGCGGGCTTGTGTGGCCCAAAGCGGACAATATCTACATGGGCTGGCTGTTACAGAACGGTGTAGTGAGGAGAAAGAACCGAGCATCATGGAGATGGCAAGCGTGTATGCCTTTATGAAAAAGCCAAAAAAAACCTTTGTCGGCAGAAGCATCAAGTACTGCAGTCTTCTTGTTGATAAGGCTCCCAAAACTAGATCTATTGAAGGCAAAACACCATTTGAGGCCTGGTTTGGTTATAAGCCAGATTTACAAAATCTCAAAATTTTTGGTTGCCTATGTTTTTCTTATGTGCCTCAGGTGAAGAGAGATAAACTTGATAAAAAGGCAGAACCTGGTGTATTTGTTGGATACAGCAGCACCTCTAAAGCTTACAGAATTTTCCAACCTCAAAATAGGAAAATTATTGTAAGTCGAGATGTCAAATTTATGGAGGACAAGCAATGGATTTAGGAGGAGCAAATAGAAAGAGAATTTCCAGAATTCTCTTAAGAACCTGATGACAATATTGATGATGTTCTAGTTCGTGGCACAAGATCATTGTCTGATGCTATGCAAGAAGTAATGTTGCTGTTTTTGAGCCTGCAGAATTTAATGAAGCAATGAAGGATGACAAATGGATAGATTCCATGAAAGAAGAGCTAAAAATGATCGAGAAGAATGACACTTGGGAGTTGGTGGACAGACCTCAAAATAGAAAGATCATTGGAGTGAAATGGGTTTACAGGACCAAACTCAATGCTGATGGTTCTCAAACTCAATGCTGATGGTTCTATAAACAAACATAAAGCCAGATTAGTCGTGAAAGGGTACAAACAAGTCTTCGGAGTAGATTTTTCAGAAACTTTTGCTCCTGTCGCACGTTTGGATACTATAAGGATGTTGCTGACCTTGTCTGCGAAAAAAGGTTGGAAGCTTTATCAGCTGGATGTTAAGTCAGCTTTTTTAAATGGTTTCCTTCAAGAAGAAATCTATGTTGAACAGCCTGAGGGATTTCTAGTGAAGGGTAAGGAGGAGAAGGTTTACAAACTGAAGAAGGCTTTGTATGGCCTTAAACAGGCTCCCAGGGCGTGGTACAGCAGAGTTGATGATTATCTTCAAAGTCTTGGATTTATGAAAAGTCCAAGTGAAGCCACTTTATATGTGAAGAAATCAGATGCTAACATTATATGTGAAGAAATCAGATGCTAACATAACTGTAGTGTCTATTTATGTTGACGATTTGCTTGTTACAGGAAGCAATGAAAAAATGGTGAATGAATTTAAAGCGGATATGTTCAAAGTTTTTGAGATGACAGATCTTGGTTTGTTGTCTTATTTTTTGGGCCTAGAGGTGAAACAAAGTGCTCATGAAGTCTTCATATGCCAGCAGAAGTTTGCAAAGGAAATTCTTAAGAAATTTCACATGGAAGATTGCAAAGAAATTAGCACACCAATGAATCTGAAGGAGAAGTTCCGTAAAGAAGATGGAGCTGAAAAGGTAGATGAAGGGCTGTACAGGAGTTTAATCGGTTGCTTGATGTATCTCACAGCCACAAGACCGGACATAACCTTTGCTGTAAGTTTGCTGTTAACCTTTGCTGTAAGTTTGCTGTCAAGGTTTATGAATTGTGCTAGTAAAGTTCATTTTGTAGCTGCTAAGCGTATTCTAAGATATTTGAAGGGCACAACCGATTATGGCATCAAATATTCTGGCCTTAAAAATTTTCAGCTCCAAGGTTTTTCTGACAGTGATTGGGCAGGTTCTACTGATGATATGAGAAGCACAACTGGTTTTTGTTTTAGCTTTGGCTCAGGTGTTTTCTCATGGAGTTCAAAAAAGCAAGAGGTTGTTGCTCAAAGCACAGCAGAAGCAGAGTTTATTGCAGCAAATGCTACAGTGAATCCAGCAATTTGGATCCGAAAAATACTTGAAGACTTGCAGATAAAGCAAAATGATCCAACAGAGATTTTTGTTGACAACCAAGCTGCTATTGCAATCTCCAAAGGGACCCTGTTTTTCATGGGAAGAAAAAAGCTAAGCACTTTAACATCACAGGCTTCTATCATTGAGGGAAAAGCAGAAAGATGGTAAAATCAAGCTAGTATTTGCAGAACAGAGGAACAGTCTGTAGATATTTTAACCAAAGGGACTTCCCTAAAGCAAGATTTGAAGAGTTAAGGAACAAGTTAGTTGTTTTGCAAATACTAAGGCAAGGAGGAAGGATTGTTAGTAATTGCCTTTAGTATTTGACCAAGTCTTTACAGTTTTTTTTGCTTTTGAACAAGTCTTTAAGGATGGATTACTTGTTTGCTAATTTATTAGGAGATTAGTTTCAGTTTTTCCCGGATTATTAGCAGTAGTTTGCTAAGTGTGATGTCTCTTTTTCTCTATAAATATTCAAGCAGTAAATAAGAATGGATGTGCTTCCAAGTCCAATATATTCCCAGTTTATAAAACATTTTTTCATATAGCTTCATATCAGTTTTTTTACTACCAGAATAAAACCTTCAAGATGTCTCTTTTTCTCTATAAATATTCAGCAGTAAATAAGAATGATGTGCTTCCAAGTCCAATATATTCCAGTTTATAAAACATTTTTCATATAGCTTCATATCAGTTTTTTTACTACAGAAATAAACTCAAACATTTCTGGTATATATAAATGAATTATACACAATCATCTGGAATTAGTTTAGAATTTTATGTTTTCACGTTTGGTGTGAAAGAAACTGTTCATCTTCACTGCAATGGGTTCAATATAACTAAACCAAATTACAATGTTTATAGGAATTACACATTTAAAATCATTTGTACCAAATTGGGTGTAAAAGCTGAATTCTTAACTCTGTTTCTAAACCTTTTCGTGCATTATCTGTCAAGAATTCTTCAATTTAACATCTTCAATAAATTAGCCGCAAAACACATTGCAATCCCTTAATACTCCATACGTAGGTGGAAATAATCTTTTGTGCATAATTACTTCACAATTGATACTCCATTTGCAGGTGTAATTCATCTTTTGCTAGATGCAACTTGATCCATAATCAGAAGCTGATGTCATTCACCCCCGAACCTAAGAGAAAAGTGGAAAGGTCTAAAGAGAGAAGAATTAAACAAGAAGTAGAAGCTCCACCAAGTGCTCAAGCAACAAAGACAAGGACTATGAGATGTCACATCTGCAAACAGCTAGGTCATAACAAGGGATCTGTGAGATGGCACCTCCAATATGTAGGGTATAAGAAAGTGAAGCATATAGTGCTCTGAAGACTCATGTTTCTAATTAGTAATTCAACACATGGAAATATATATAAATGCATTTGCAGGGACGTAGCACCACAAGGAACATCTCAGGTCAAGTGCCTGCAATTAGCAGAGGAGGTGGTGGTCTAAGGGTAAACATGGAGCAAGGACAGTCTGCTCAGAGATTTTAGTGATGACTAAATTGAAGGCTTTTGTTTCTAGCTTTTGGTTCTTTTTGGGATTAGAACAAGATGGTAGTTTCATGTTGCAAAATATATTTGCTTCTATATTGTTTGCAAATATATTTTTTTTGGGTTCTTTTTTCGTATAGTGGAAAACAACAGATACTGGGATAGTTGTTTATAATCTGCAAGTTGTACTTTTCTTATAGTTATGTCATTAACATTTTTTATTTGGTAATGATACTTATATTTTATATATTTCACAGATTGTGTTTTTTTTGCCTTTTTTATATTGTTGAGGTAGTCGGCATAAGAATTGCTGCAAGTTCAGTGCATATGCCAGTTGAGCTATGTTGTAGGTTCTGCATTTTTCTTTGCAGATATCGCTAGCAAATATCTCCTCTGATCAACATTTTTTTTCGATATTATTACCATAGTCTCTGCTGTGTTCTGCATTTTTTTAGTTATCAATCTTGGGACATTAGTGTTAAAATTTTATAGGGAAAATTTGCACATATTTGAGAGATTGAGTAGTTCTTCATTGATGAAAATTACTGATTTTTAAGTAGAATATAAAATTATGTAATATTTGCAAATGCAATCTTAAAGCAGAACGCAACTTAGTTCTATACAAATATAGATTCCATTTCAGACTTACATAAACTACACAAACCTTTTCATTTTTTGCCACTCAAACCAAACCTACACCCAAACACATTACTTGAAAATGCAAGAAAAACCGTGACTATACCAGCAAGATACTAGCAATATGAAAATCGAGCACGAAATAACAAATATCTCGAGGCGTCCAATCACAGCATCTAAAACCTCAACCTTACCAACAAGCTTTCTAACTTCATTGTGCAAAAAAACATGCATTTATCTTTCAACTCTTTCAGCTCACACCCATTACTTCTTTCCTTGACTCACAGAATCGTTGGATTCCATTGTATTGTTTGTTGTCAGTTTAAAAAGGAAAAAAAAGTTTAAATTCCACTCACCAAATTAGTGTTTCAAAATTTTGCTGCGTTATTAAATACTTTTATATATTTATTATATAGATGTTGAAATGTCTTGTCGTTTTCAGTAATTTTCAAATGTGAAGTGTTGGAAGAGTTGACTTGTCGTTTTCTGCGTCAACGATACTAAAAAATTAGGCTACTTCCTCTAGCTTATTATTTGACCACGCATGAAAATTAAAATTGTTATACACGGTTTTTCTTTTTAATCCATTTCAGAGGAAAATATAATCTCATTAACTGAGAAGAAAGAAAATGAGGTCTGATACTTGTGGTGGAGACTCCATCTAACATTACAATATCATGATCCAAAATCAAACCCAAGCTTCTGAATAACGAAGAGAGGCTAAACAAAACAAACCATCAATGGAATGCATATCCATACTTTGCTGCTTCCTATTGCTGATCACAATTACCACTGCAGCTGACACCATGAATATAACTCAATCTATCAGAGACAGAGACGGTGAGACGATAGTTTCAGCTGGTGAAAGGTTTAGATTAGGATTTTTCAGTCCAGGCAACTCCAAAAATAGATACTTGGGTATATGGCACAATAAAGTACCTGAAAGTGCAATTAAAGCAGTTTGGGTTGCCAACAGAAAAACCCCCCTCACGGATTTATCAGGGATTTTTAAGATGACTGATCAAGGAATCCTAGTCCTCACTCAAAATGCAACTGTGATTTGGTCAACCAACTCCACAACCCCTGCAAGAAAACCTGTTGCGCAGCTTTTGGATTCAGGAAATCTTATAGTAAGAAATGAAGGGGATAATACAACAGAATATTACTTGTGGCAGAGCTTTGATTATCCATCTGATACATTCTTGTCTGGGATGAAACTCGGAAGGAATAGAGTAACGGGCTTAGATACATACATATCATCATGGAAGACAATTGATGATCCCTTTCCAGGTGATTACACATATGGTCTTGATCCTATTGGTTATCCTCAAATGATTGTGAGAAGGAATTCTACTAAGCTAAATCGTGTTGGGCCTTGGAATGGCGTTCAGTTCAGTGGGATGCCTCAACTAAGACCAAACCCTCTATATAAGTATGAATTTGTTTTGAATGCAGAGGAAATATATTCTAGCTATACTCTTCAAAACAAATCGCTTTTTTCAATGATCACGCTAAATCAACATGGAATACTCGAACAGTTGGCCTGGATTAACGAAGCAAATGATTGGGCGATGATCAGTATCGTGCCTCGCGATAAATGTGATATTTATGCTGTCTGTGGTGCATATGGTGTATGTAATATCAATTACACTCCAATGTGTAGTTGCATAAAAGGATTCGTATCAAAAGTTCCAAAAGAATGGGAAATGGATGATTGGTCCAGCGGTTGTGTTGTAAAGACTCCAGTAAATTGCTCTCAAGAGTTTCGAAAGTACTCTGGAGTGAAATTACCAGAAACAAGAACATCCTGGTTCAATGATGCAAGTTTTGTGATCGCAAGTATGTCTTTGGACGACTGCAAGTTCTTGTGCACAAAGAACTGCTCCTGTTCAGCTTATGCAAATTTGGACATAAGGCAAGGAGGGCATAATTGCTTGCTTTGGTTTAGTGAACTGATTGATATTAGAGAATTAGAGCAAGGTGGGCAAGATATTTACATAAGGATGGCTGCATCAGAGTCAGGTATGAATTTTGCCTGTGACTGGAAACTGGTGCCTAATTCTGAGATTATGGCATCTTGTCATCATGTTATAAATTAAGATTGAGCCAAATTATAATAAATGAAGCCAACATAAGAATATTGAGCAAAATTCAGAAAAAAAAAGTGCATTTTTCTTTTCCTCAGCAAGTTATGATTTAAAAACACCAAGTCATAGGATTTGATAATTAACAAGAATATCCATACATGGATTATGACAGTTCATGTGCAATTGTGCATATGTTTACAAGGCATACTATGTCAATAATTTTGCAGTTTGCACAACTAAATGTTCAATCTGCAAAATTATGGATCAATTTCCCTTACCTGAAGCAGAATTTATGACTTCTAAATCTAGAAACTTAGTTATCTACAGACAATGAACCACTTTACATATGAATTTGGATGCCACGGTGGTGGGACTTCAAAAAGCTTCTAAGTGTCTTCCAGAAAACATATATATAGAGCTTCAACTGGCTGAGTTTTCTATTATTTCAATATCTTAACTCCCAGTTTTCTGCTCTTAACTGCCTGACGTCCAGACTACCACATACGGATCGTTGTAAGCTGTGTGTTATCTGCAGGGCTGCTGTTCTTGGGCCTAGCCTTGGTCTTGTTTTGGAAAAGGAAGTGGCAGAGAAACAGTAAGCTATTCATTCCTTGAAATTCCATCTCCAAACCCCTTGTCCTTTTTTCAGTGAGACAATTATGATTGAATTCAATCTCTGTAAACAAGATAATCACGAAATGGCATAGATATTCTAATTTTGGAAATAACTAAAGGAATAAGAGAGTAGAGACTGGAGACAGATGTGTATTTTTTATTCACCTTATTTCTACTTTGTGGGGAAAACATCAGGTACCCTGGAAACAATTGTACATAACAAGGGCCAGACAAAGGAAGATCTTGAATTAACATTCTTTGATTTGGGCACCATTGCTAGTGCAACCAATAAGTTTTCTCCTACCAATAAACTAGGAGAAGGAGGCTTTGGACCTGTTTATAAGGTACTAGTATGAAAAAAATTGGTGTAATTTTTTGATGGCTGAGTTTGATTATATAGACTCTTGGCACTACTGCATACTTCTCAGATATTAATTCTCTAAAAACTAGCCAACTGATAGTAATTACAATGTTTATAGATAATATAGCAATTACTCAATATTTTGTATGTGTTCGACTTCAAAGATTGAAAAGACAAGTTCTTACGCGAAAAGTTGCAAATAGTATGCAGCATGAAACTAAAACCCTATCAGATTCACAGGTTATGGCATTATTTTGTGTGATATGGTATTATTATCTACAGGGAATACTGAAAGATGGACAAGAAATAGCTGTGAAGAGGCTTTCAAAGAATTCAAGACAAGGACTTGATGAGTTTAGTAATGAAGTCATTTATATTGCAAGACTACAGCATCGAAATCTAGTGAAGATCCTAGGATGCTGCATTCAAGCAAACGAGAGGATGTTGATCTATGAGTTCTTGCCTAACAAAAGCTTGGACTTCTTCATATTTGGTTTGAATCTTGTTTAATGCACATGAAACTACAATACATTTTACCCTGTTTTTTCAGTTTCGTTCATAGCGCATTTGACTTCTTGGTCTTTGACCCCTTCAGGCATTATGAACACCCCTAATCAATTCAATGTCGTGTGTCTATTTATCCATATCATGACTCAAATATGGTTTTCTGAAGAAGCAATTTCCTTACTTCCTATATGTTCCAATCAAAAACAAACCAAAGATTTGAATCGTGCTTTACCTACCTTTTTCTTTTATGCATATTGATGAATCTGATAAAAAAGAGAAATGAATTAATTTGGTTTAAAATTTGCAGATCAAAAACAGAGCATACATCTAGACTGGCCTCAGCGCTACCACATTATCAATGGGATAGCTCGTGGACTCCTTTACCTCCACCAAGATTCAAGACTAAGAATAGTTCATAGAGATCTAAAAGTTGGGAACATTTTATTAGATTATGAAATGAACCCAAAAATTTCAGACTTTGGTCTTGCTAGAAGTTTTGGAGGAAATGAAACTGAAGCAAATACAAATAAAGTGGTAGGAACACAGTAAGTATCTCCCAAAATGGTATACATGTATATATGTTGTACATGTCCACAATCAAATTAGAATTTAATTTAACATTGGAATTCATGCAGTGGTTACATGTCACCAGAGTATGTAATTGATGGTCGTTACTCCATGAAATCTGATATCTTTAGCTTTGGTGTTATGGTGCTAGAGATAGTAAGTGGGAAAAGAAACAGAGGATTCTATCATCCGGAGCACAATGGTAACCTTCTTGGACATGTAAGTATGACATTTTCAATATTTTCAAATTTCTTGGACAGGTGAGAAATTGTCATAGTAAAAATGTTTTCGAATTGTTTAGGCATGGACACTACATAAAGAAGGTAGGACTTTTGAGCTGATTGCTGCATCAGTGACAGAGTCATGCAATCAATCTGAAGTGCAACGATCAATTCAAGTTGGTCTACTTTGTGTGCAGCAAAATCCAGAAGATAGGCCAGCTATGTCAAATGTGGTTCTTATGTTAGGAGGTGAAGGTGCATTGCCTGCGCCTAAAAAACCAGGATTTTTTACTGAAAGAGATCTAAATGACCTCGAGTCTTCATCAAGCAAGCAAAAACCCCCTTCACTTAATTGTCTCACTATTACACTCCCAGAGGCAAGATAAGAACAGCAATGTTTTAAATGTTTTTTTTTTTTGTTGTATCTTCAAAGTTGTGACCTTTTCTCATAAAGTAATATTAGAAATTAAAAAAACTGAAGCTTGAGAGTTATTACCTTGAGCATTTGCTTTCCATATTGACATCCTTGTATTTGGTAGCTAGACTGGTAAAATTTCTGCTGTAAATAAGCGAAGAAAGCAAGTGGGCATTTTTCATTGGGAAATTCGTCGAACACCTGGATGCAAAAGTTAGCATGTTCAGTTTGCGAAGTTTGTATGGCATTTTGAAGGCAATGGCTTTTGTGAATTAGTATAAAACCAAGAAAATGACTTTGAGAGAAGCCTGACAAACATACCAGGTGGCAGGTACTATAGCTTTTGGTCTTATTCAATGAAAATCGTATGAGTTTTTCCCTTTTGCAATGATGTGTAGTCAGACAGAGTTTATCGCAATGGCACTCTCAATGCAAGCGCAATCTTCTCGTTCGGTAAAAGACACAGTTTATCACAATGGCACTCTCAATGCAAGCGCAATCTTCTCGTTCGGTAAAAGACACAGTTTATCACAATGGCACTCTCAATGCAAGCGCAATCTTCTCGTTCGGTAAAAGACACAGTTTATCACAATGGCACTCTCAATGCAAGCGCAATCTTCTCGTTCGGTAAAAGACACAGTTTATCACAATGGCACTCTCAATGCAAGCGCAATCTTCTCGTTCGGTAAAAGACACAGTTTATCACAATGGCACTCTCAATGCAAGCGCAATCTTCTCGTTCGGTAAAAGACACAGTTTATCACAATGGCACTCTCAATGCAAGCGCAATCTTCTCGTTCGGTAAAAGACACAGTTTATCACAATGGCACTCTCAATGCAAGCGCAATCTTCTCGTTCGGTAAAAGACACAGTTTATCACAATGGCACTCTCAATGCAAGCGCAATCTTATTTGAAAACACTTGCTTTGTAACTATGGAACCCGAGCTTTGGTAAACTTACCTGATTCTGATCCTGAGCCAGAACAAAGACCGGCATGATTACAGGACAAAATTGGAAAGCTTAAAGAGTTAAGGTTGTGCATCAGAATATGAGGGTTGATGATGGTGCTGCTTCTCTGTTGGGAGACCTCGTGCCCAAAGTTACATATATGCTGCAGCCTGGTATTTACGCATTTTACTTGAAATTTTCTCAAAGATAGATCATATTACAGAAACTAAGTATAGAACTCTTTAAGATATATGGTAAGAATTTATTTTATTTATTTTAAAAGTTCATTTCATTAATTTGCTTCTCAATTTCTGTAACTTTATAGTAATCAAAAGATAGACTTGCATTGGAGACATGGGTTTTCTTTCAATCTGTCGACGTTTAAGTCAAATTGAAAACCATTCTTTTCAAATGACTATTCTTTCAAATGGAGCTTTCATAATTACTATTAGGCTAGGTATATCGATTATTCATATTGTTCCTTTATGAATATCAGTATGACAGACACCACATAAATTGCAATTACGTTTCAGAAAATAATAAAACTAGGGAAAACAATTAATTCATTTTTAGGTTGGACCAAACTAACTAAGTCGCTCAGCAGTTTGATAATATTAATTAATGGTTTTCGAGGTTTGTCTCCATCAAATCATTTGATAATACCGTCCGTTTTCTCCAGATTTATCCGTTAAAACCTTTAATAAAGACTAAAATACCGTGAAAGTTAAGAAGGGTAAATAATTAATTCGTCCCCGAGGTTTGCCAAACTAACTAAGTCATTATTGCAATTTAACAATATTAATTAATGATCTCCGAGATTTACGTATATCAAACAATTTGGTCATTTTGTCCATTTTCGCCAAATTTTCCATTAAAACCTTCAAAAAAAAAGACTAAAATAGCTTGACATTTAAGAAGAAAAAGACTAAATTAAACTATGTTAGAATTTCCATTTGTCGTAGAGGAAAAAGGAAGAGTCAGAATATACATTTATTATTTGATATTCATAAAAAAAAAAAAAAATTGATCAACATAAAGTGTCACTTTACTGTCTTGAGCCACCAATAAAAAGATGAACAAAAAAAATATACATCGAATTAATTTCAATAAAAATAATAGGCATTTAATTGTAGGTATCAATATTCAAGTGAGCAAGTTATTTTATATATTCCATCACAAACTACAACTAATAAAATGAAGGTAGGACCATAGGAATAGTAATGATTCCAATCACAACTACAACTAATAAAATGAAGGTAGGACCATAGGAATAGTAAGAATATTTTAGAAAATAAAAAAAAAATTGCCGTTCTTTGACAGGAATCGTTTTTGCAGAATTTCAGTTGTAAATTTGATAAGACTTAATTGTCATTATGTTATAAAGCAAATAATCTAGGTTAGTTTAATCTTATTTCTTGTTAAGTGTAATGATATTTTAATTTTTTTTAAAGATTTTAACAGAAAAATCAAGAGAAAATAAATAGAATAACCAAATGGTTCGATAGAGTTAAACTTCATGGATCATTAATTAATACTATTAAACTGCAAAGATGACATAGTTAGTTTGGCCAAACCTCATGGTTGTATTAATTATTTACCATTCTTAAGTTTCCGGGTATTTTACTCTTTTTTAAAAGTTTTAACGGAAAAATCTGGAGAAAATCGACGAAATGACCAAGTGGTTCCTCGAAAGTAAACCTAGGAGATTATTAATTAATATCGTCAAACTGCTGAGTGACTTAGTTAATTTGGTCAAATCTTAGTGACAAATTAATTATTTTCCCATAAAATTAACAAAAAGGTGGGAAAAAAAAAAAAAGAACAAGATTTTGGTTGTGACATGGTGTGATTATTTACAGGGGAACTTGAAAGATGGACAAGAAACTGTTATAAAATTTGAATTGGCCCAAGCCCAGACCCAGGCCCATTCCGTCAAACAAAGTGAACTGTCACGTTTTCCAGTGTCGTTTACTGAACTTCGTTGACTTAACTGAAAACAATTAAAGAAGTCAATCGCCAATCGTTGAGTTGCTATCCAGCGCGGAGAAATTCAACCCCATGTGCGAATTAGAATTCGCGTGCTTGATTCGAGAATTAAAGCTCAAGAAAAATGGAATTGTTATTTCCCACTTGTCTTGTCAACAAGAAACTAAAATTTCACTGGTTCCAGACGTCAATGGTTACCGTTAGTATACTCGGAGCCGCAGCCTGCTTCTTTTTGGGTTGATGGAGTGGAAAACAAAATGGTTGAAATATGGCTGCTTCCACACGTCAGTGGTTCTTCCTATTCTTTGGTCAACATTGATACGCCATTGATTCTACCGCAATGAGGGAATTAGTTAAGGTAATTTTCCATTCTCATTTCTTTTTTAATTTGTGTTGAATAATTTATTCAAATTTTTGTGACTTTTGAAAGTCATAATGTTGAATTTTTTGTATGATAATTTGAAAATTAAACAATGTTTGATTAATTCTATTGATATGATGAAATGTCAGATGAAAATATCATTGATTACTAATCTATAATTAAGGAACTTCTACAAATTGTCATTCAACTGTAATAATTTGTCATTCAACTGTCATATTACAATAAATTAGAATAAATTTTTCAACGGTATTAAGAAATGCAACAAGATCAGAAGCTGAAAACACCCATGGAAAACTTTACCATACTCCTTTTCTGTGTCTTTTTCACCTCCACCTTCATAATATCCATGCCCTTGGATACTATATATCCAACTGAAAGTATTAGAGACGGTGAGACATTAATTTCAGATGGTGGCAGCTTTGAACTTGGGTTTTTCAGCCCTGGAGCTTCTAAATATCGATACTTGGGTATTTGGTACAAAAAAGTATCCAATGGGACCATTGTTTGGGTTGCCAATCGAGAAACACCACTCACTGATTCCTCTGGCCTTCTGAAGTTAAACGACACTGGACTTCTTGTTCTTCTCAATCAGAATAATACTATCGTATGGTCTTCCGGTACATCAAGTGTAATTAGTAACCCAGTTGTTCAACTGTTGGGATCAGGAAATCTTGTTATTAGAGATGAAAATGATGTTAACCCACAAAATTTCTTGTGGCAAAGTTTTGATTATCCTGATAAAACATTATTGCCAGGAATGAAGATTGGAACTACGGCTAAAGGCTTGGGTATACTTCTATCATCATGGAAGAGCTCAGATGATCCTGCTGTAGGAGATTTTACATATGAGCTTGATCACAGCACATTACAGATAGCTATCAAAGAAAATTCAGTTGTCAAGACTCGATATGGGCCTTGGAATGGTGTTCAATTCAGTGGGCGACCTTATTCAGAACTAGCCTCAATTTTTACTTTTTTTTCTAACCAGAAGGAGGTATACTATAGCTTTGATGGATTTGTAAACAAATCAATTGTTACAAGGATGGTTCTGAATGATAATGGAGTTGCGGAGTGGCTCATATGGATTTATCAAACCAGTGACTGGAGGAGATACATATCTGGACCGACAGACAACTGTGATGCTTATGCATTATGTGGTGCTTACGGTATTTGTGACACTAGAAGATCACCTCTTTGTAGTTGTCTGGATAGATTTGTGCCCAAATACAAAAATGATTGGGACGGAGGAGACTGGTTAAGTGGATGTGATCGAAGAATGCCGTTGGATTGCCAGAAAGGAGACAAGTTCGTTAGGTACTCCAATGTTAAATTGCCTGACATGAAAAATTCGTCAACCAATGCGAGCTTGACGCTAGAGGAATGTAAGATGCTATGCTTGAAAGATTGTTCTTGCATGGCTTATGCTGTTTCAGATATTAAAAGAGGGAGTGGATGCTTCTTTTGGTTTGGTAACCTTCTTGACATCAAACAATTAACTGAGGATGGGCAAGATCTTTACATTAGGATGTCTTCGTCTGAAATAGGTAATTCACAAATAAACGTTTTAACTTGCAACAGGGAAGAATTTGGTTAAAAATGAAAAAGAAAAAGCTATGTGCAAATAAATCTTTTGTGCATCACATTGCCTACATAATTTTTCTCTTTTAATGAATGTGTTACGTTTGTACCAAGATGACGAATATACAAAGATTAACGGGAAGTCAAAAATCAAGATCATAGCGGCCATTCTCTCAGTTACCGGAGCGATCGTCCTAGGCCTAGCATTGGCAATATTTGTTCGGAAAAGAAAGCAGCGGAAGTACAGTATGTCATATTTTCATTCAGTTCTTGTTATTTTAAATTCCAATCCAATGTTCTTTTTCAGCTAGGCCGTTGTGATGCAAATCTAATCGACCTGTGAGTTCAAATGTTCAATGAAATGAAGTTATGACTTGATTCTTTTTATTCTTTATGGTGCTACTTTCTCACGGATAATGATAGGCAATCTGGAAAGAAATGCAAATAACAATAATAAAAATGAAGACCTAGAATTACCGCTCTTTGATCTGGGCATTATTGCTTCTGCAACCAATAACTTCTCCTTCACCAATAAAATCGGAGAAGGGGGTTTTGGACCTGTTTATAAGGTACAATCTGATGCCATCCGCTTATAATAACTGAATTTGTTGTATTTCACTGATATTTGTTCTGTTGCTGACTACGTAGTTATTGGGTATTAACCATTTTCAGGGAGTGCTGAAAAATGGGCAAGAAGTCGCTGTGAAGAGGCTATCAGCAAATTCAGAACAAGGAGTTAATGAATTCAAGAATGAAGTTGTGTATATTGCCAAACTTCAGCATCGGAATCTGGTGAAACTACTTGGATGTTGCATACAGGCAAATGAAATGATGTTGATCTATGAATTTTTACCGAACAAAAGCTTGGACTTCTTTATTTTCGGTTTGTTCCCAAACTAAAGCAAATTGATTTTCCTAAAATTTTTTACCACAGAAACTGATCCAGAGCCAACATATCCTTTTCTGAACTATGCATTTACTAACAGCCAAAATATACTGACTAGTGTATGACATTGATAGATGAAAGAGACAATATGCTGCTAGATTGGCCTAAGCGCTTCCACATTATCAATGGAATTGCCCGTGGCCTGCTTTACCTTCACCAAGATTCCAGACTAAGAATAGTTCATAGAGATTTGAAAGCAAGCAACATCTTACTCGATAACGAAATGAATCCAAAAATTTCAGATTTCGGTCTCGCTAGAAGTTTTGGAGGAAATGAAACGGAAAAAATAACAAAGAAAGTGGCAGGGACATAGTGAGTTTCTCTTATGATGATGCAAATATTTGTGTTTATATCATTTTCTGCACCTGTAAATTTGTCATAACACTTTGATATTTGCTCCAGTGGTTATATGTCTCCGGAGTATGCAATTGATGGCCTGTACTCGGTAAAATCCGATGTGTTTAGCTTTGGTGTCATGGTGCTAGAGATAGTAAGTGGAAAAAGGAACAGAGGATTCTATCATCCAGACCACAATCTTAACCTTCTTGGGCATGTAAGTCTCACATTTAGTTTTTCTTATTTCATGATGAATAGTCTATGAGAATAATATGTTTTTAATTGTTTAGGCATGGACACTCCACAAAGAAGGGAGGTCTATTGAAATGATTGACACATTAGCAAGAAATTCTTGCAATCTATCTGAAGTGGTACGGTCTATCCATGTCGGTTTACTTTGCGTTCAACGGAGTTCAGAAGATAGGCCAAGCATGTCAACAGTGGTTTTTATGCTGGGCAGCGAAGGTGCATTGCCGCAGCCTAAGCAACCTGGATTTTTCAATGAGAGGGAAATAACTGAGGCGAATTCCTCATCAGACAAGGATACCTCATTTTCTACTAACTAAAAGGAGGAAATAACTGAGGCGAATGTCCTCACAGACAAGGATACCTCATTTTCGTACTAACTAAAAAAGCCGATAAATGCATATCATTCTGATATGTTTTTAATTATATTTTTTCGGGCAGCAAGGGATTACGAATTTTTTTGTCCATGAAACGAACACACTCGTAAACAGTACTGAAGTTTGATGTATCATATATTTGATCTACAAGACGAATTCTGTTAGTTATTTAGTTTATAATTAAGACTAATTATAAACTGCTTTTGAATGAGTTGAAATTGCTAATGGGGAGTATAAAAGAAAAAAAAAAAAAAAAATGCTACTGTCATCCGACAATCCAGATAAATTCAGAAACCCAAGTAGGCAAAGGTCTCTTGTGTTTGATTGAGTGTCAATTATATTTCACTTATATGGTGTGCTAAAATTTTTCGAAATGCTGGAATTGAGAAATAAGAGCAATGGTTCTTTTTTTCAAAGCCTGAGACAAAATCCGTAGCTGGGGCTTGATCTTAAGTGGATGGTGAGTATAAAAGAAAAAAAAAAAAAATGCTACTGTCATCCACAATCCAAAATTCAAAACCCAAGTAGCAAGTCTCTTGTTTGATTGATTCAATATATTACTATATGGGTTGCTAAAATTTCAAATGTGAATGAGAAATAAGCAATTGGTTCTTTTTTTCAAAGCCTGAGACAAATCCGTAGCTGGGCTTGACTTAATGGGATCGATTTGACGATATAATTTAATAAAAAATTTTTAGAAATTCCTTGCTTTTTTTTTTTCATTATTGGTTTTGCTTATGTCTAACTTAGACTTAGAAGGATGATCGAATTAAGACCAATGTTTGATAATAATAAATTAATAATAATGTCGTAATAGTCGTATTGAAATTTGTTTGTCCACGCGTTGTATTTTCATTTGTTATTACATGTTAAATTCTCAAGAGCTACACACTCCACGTATGCAAGTGGTTCCACCAAGTTTGAAAGTTTGATTTGTAAACGTAAGTTGAAAAGCAAGGGAAAATGAATTTTTATTATATAATATAATTTATTTGTAAATGAAATAAATTTTATATTTCATCATTTCAAATGAATGTAAGAGACGTAATTCTTTAGCTTCTATCTTTAGAAGCCTGAGTTTTTGCTGGCTAAGAAAGCTAAGCTTGGACCAACCCATTCTCATCCTCCGCTTCATTGGACATCTGCTTTCAATTTCTTCGCCTTCATTGACCTAATAATAAAACTTTGTTTTGTGGAACAAACAACTTCAAGTTTCAATGCCTTTTATAGAGCGTCATTGACCTCATAAAATATGATAATTATATAATTAATTTTAAACTTTACTAGCATTTCAAACGGTGGATCAAACCACTTGGTATTCCAATGTAGTCTTCTTGCTTACATTAATTTATAAATATGTTAGTTGTGTAAATTTTCATCCAACTGTAAGAAACTAATAATATGAAGAAATGAAACAAGAGGAAACGGAGTAATGGAAAAATATGCAACTGTACTCCTTTTCTGCATTTCTTTTACCTCCATCTTCATAGTATCCCTTTCCTTGGACACTATATCTCCAAATGAAACTATTAGAGATGGTCAAACAATAGATTCAGCTAATGGCAGCTATGAACTTGTGTTTTTTAGCCCAGGAGCTTCTAAATATCGATACTTGGGTATTCGTTACAGAAAGGTGCCCGAAAGAACAGTTGTTTGGGTTGCCAATCGAGAAATTCCACTCACTGATTCATCTGGCCTTTTAAAGTTAAACGACAATGGGCTTCTTGTTCTTCTCAATCAGAATAATACAATCATTTGGTCTTCCAATACATCGCATGTGCTGCATAACCCAGTTGTGCAACTTTTGGATTCAGGCAATCTTGTTATTAGAGCTCAAAATGATCTAAACCCAGAAAATTTCTTGTGGCAAAGTTTCGAACATCCTGACAAAACATTTCTACCAGGAATGAAGATCGGAACTACAGCTAAAGGCTTGGATATACGTCTATCATCATGGACGAGCGAAGATGATCCTTCTCCAGGAAAGTTTACATATCAGATTGTTTCCAGCGCCTTACAGTTAGTTCTCAAAGAAAATTCAGCTATCAAGTATCGATATGGGCCTTGGAATGGCGTTCAATTTAGTGGGATAATGTATTTGGAACCAGGCTCACTTTTCACGTATGCTATTGTTTTAAACCCAGAGAAGGGGGAATGCTATACTATTGATGAATTTGTTGACAAATCAGTTTTTACAAGCCTCGTTCTGACTGAAGATGGTGAGACAAAGAGGTTCCTATGGATTGATCGAACTGGTGAATGGAGAGTGCAATCATCTATACCAATAGACAAGTGTGATTCTTATGCATCATGTGGTGCATACGGCATTTGTGACATTAGAAAAACGACTATTTGTGGTTGTCTGGATAGATTCGTGCCAAAATACAAAGAAGATTGGGACGGAGGTGACTGGTTAGGTGGATGTGTTCGAAGAAAACCGTTGGATTGCCGCAAAGGAGACAAGTTTATAAAGTACTCCAATGTCAAATTGCCTGACGTGAAAAATTGGACAGCCAATGCAAGCTTGACGCTAGAGGAATGTAAGATGACATGCTTGAAAGATTGTTTGTGCATGGCTTATGCTGTTTCAGATATAAAAAGAGGGAGTGGATGCTTCTTTTGGTCTGGTGACCTTCTTGACATCAAACAATTAACTGAGGATGAGCAAGATCTTTACATTAGGATGTCTTCTTCTGAAATAGGTAAACTCAAATAAGCATTCAACTTTTGACACGGAAGAATTAAAAAAACAATGGAAAAGATATTCAAATTTAACATTGTCTATCTCACAAATTTTCCCTTTTTCATGAAGAAGATGAGGATACAAAGATTAATGGGAAGTCAAAAAAGAAGATCATAGCGGCCATTTTGTCAGTTGCTGGAGCGATCTTCCTAAGCCTAGCGTTGGCACTGTTTGTGCGGAAAAGGAACCAGCGGAAAAAAGGTATTTCATATTTGTATTTGTTTCTTATTCTTTTAATTTCTAAATTCCTATATCCAATTAGATAAAACTTTGCTAGATCCAGTCTAGGGTCCACCCGTTGACCAAACAAATTACATTAAAATTTTTTAAAAAATTGTTCCCATTTTATTTTTTTTTTATTCATTTATGGATACCTATCTATTGGCCTACTCATAGACCTAACCAATGAAAAAAGATATTTTATTAAACAGATGGTATTTCTTACCATACACTCGTAAAAAAAAAAAAGATAAAATAAAAATACCTTTTTAAAATTTTTATTTTTTATTGATTTGATCTATGGATGAGACTATAGACCGGTCTAGATAAATCTAATCCGGTTTTGTTTTAGTAAATGGTTAGAAATACATTTGTCTCCAGAAAAAAATACTTTCTGGTTTGATCTATGAGCGTGCCTATAGACAGGGTTTAGGTGAGTCCATTCTCTATGCATTGTTCCTTTTCTGCTAGGCTGTTATAATGCAAATCTCATGAACATGGGAGTTCAATGGAAGAAGAGATGGTTTGATTCTTTATGGTTCTACTTTTGCAGGGCTAATTGTAGGCAATCTCGAGAGAAGTGCAAATAACAAGAATAAAAAAGACGACCTAGAATTACCACTTTTTGATCTGCGCACTATTGCTTGTGCAACCAACAATTTCTCCTTCATCAATAAACTTGGAGAAGGAGGATTTGGACCTGTTTTTAAGGTTACAATCTGATGCTATCCACATAGAATACAAAGTCTTTAATGTTGTATTTTTTTTTTTTTTTTTTTTTTTTTTTTTTTTACAAAGATATGAGAAAAGAACGACGTAGAATTACCACTTTTGATCTGCGCGCAACTAGTTGCTTGGTGCAACCAACCAATTTCTCCTTCATCAATAAACTTGGGAGAAGGGAGGATTTGGACCTGTTTTAATAGGGTTACAAGTCTGATGCTATTCCACATAGAATTACAAAAGGTCTTTAAATGTGTATTTTTTTTTTTTTTTTTTGTCATTTTCTTCAGGGACTTAGCGATATCAGCCACCATATGGGATGTTCGTTGTCGTATTTTAATCGGTTAATCATTCTTAGGGGAGTGTGAAAGAAACGGGCAAGAAGTGCTGTTGATGAGAGGGCGTTATCGACAGTAGATTCAATTTATATAACATAGGAGTTGTATGAATTCAAGATATGTAATGTTGTGTATATGCCAAGCTTCAGCATGCGGTTAATTCTGGTGATTAGAACTACTCGGGGTGTGGCATGCGAAGCAATAGATGGAAATGTATGGTGATTCTATGAGTTTGATGCCCAACAAAAGCTTGGACTTCTTTATTTCGGTATGCTTCCCTGAAACAAACTCACAAATTGATAATTTACTTCAAATTTCATAGGATAACTCCGAAGTCCTCGTACTCATGTGGGAGATATAAATGCTGTGATTCCCGAGGATACTTGAAATTAAGGTTTACTTTTTTGCCGACCCCTATGAGGAAAGAGTCGTTAGAATGATGCTTGCCAGACAAAATGAGAACATTCTGTCTCTGGAGTTTCACCCAGATAGAGGGTGAAGATAAAGAATAAAAATTTTGCCCATACCTTGAAACCACGAGGTTGCTCTGGTAGTGTTAGGTAAATGAAGCGTTTAGGGTGTCCTTGTATTCATTCGTAATTGTAATAATAGCTGAGCACACTGTGTAAGTGGTCGTTTTTGTTAAGAGGACCCTTTAAAATTTAGAGTGATTGCCATACTAAATACCCACAGTGCGGCAAAGTTTCCTACTTATGAATGGCTCAAAAACTAGCTTATAGTTCTGCTGATGACATACTTGCATTAAAAAATCTACAAGTATGAGTATGATTGTGGAGCCGAGTATTTCTAAGAACAACCAACAGGTGAACAAATAGGCGACTCCATGAAGAAAAATATAGGGCGCTGAAAAGCAAGGCTATCCAAGCGAATTAGTTATTTCATTTAAGGCAGTGACCATGGCGCTGCGGCGTGGACTACTTTACCTGTCATGCGAAGATTCAAACGGACCGATAAGACAATAAAAGCTTTTGCAATAGGGGTAATTGCCTGTATTTAGGCGCCCCTAATGATTACTGTAT